ACTTTTAGCTGTAGCTTAGCATAGATCATTGAATCTGATTAGACCATTAGCATCTCGCTCAAAAATGACCAAAGAGTTTCGATATGTTTCCTATTTAAAACTTGACTCTTCTGTAGTTAAATCGTGTACTAATAGCAATGATATTACGCAGCACCTGAAAATAGTCCCCAGCTAGGTAACTTCCAATAAGCCTATTTTCAGGCGCTGCATAATATCATTGTGCCTACTGCACCCATGGTACGGCAGCAAAGTTCCTTGATTATTACGCTGGAATGATAGTATAGTTCCTAGCCATATCGGCTTAGAAAATTGCAACTTTTCATTTTCCGTCGGTCTTAGTACACGATGTAACTACAGAAGAGTCAAGTTTTAAATAGGAAAAATATCGAAACTCTTTGGTCATTTTTGAGTGAGATACTAACGGTCAAATCTGATTCAATGATCTATGCTAAGCTACAGCTAAAAGTGCTACCGCCAGACCCGGAGATCGGCTTAACTCTATGGGAGTTTGAAAATGAGCCTATTTTCAAAAATAGTGGAGTGTTCCTTTAAAGAATAAGATTAATGCTTTGTTTGCACAATGATGTATTGTTGCATTGCATTGAGAATATAACAGTAGCTAATTCTACCTCTAAATAAAATCTCAGAATGAGCTGAGACAAATGGATCAGCATTTATTCTGAAACAAAGAAGCGGATGTACATTAATAATTTAACATAAAAGGAAAGCATCAATAGGTTTAGTTTTTTTATACTCCAGTTGCCACCGAAAATCATTCACTCCCTCAGTGCTGCAGGTTTGACAGACAGACCAAAATAAACTCTAATCGAGTTGCCCAGCCAAAGAAAGCTGGCAAGTCCATTAAGCTGGAAAAATCTCTGACCCCATACTTTTATTTTCCCTTGTGGAAGAACACATGGATGTTACAAAATAAGACAAAATAAAGTTTCATTTGCTCAAAAATAGTGTTAGATAAAACAAAAAAGGAACAATATTCAAACATAAATATTAGTTTAATTATTCAGCTCTGCAGATAATGTCGTCCTTGCACAGGTCAGATTTGAAGGTTTATTTAGTGAAATGCAAGGCGTTATCATATATGATGGCCTTTAGAACTGAATTCTATATTAGGATGGCAGCCGCTGTTAGTGCACTATAACTAATTCTGTCTAGTTGACCCAGACTGTGTTACGGCAGAGACCCCTGCCACCCCCCTGAGTGGTCCTGAATTAACAACATAGCTTCTAAACCTTGAGTACATGCAGTCTTTGTCCCAGTGGACGAGATCTGCTAAGCACATAAATTCTTAGCACCATCTTAGCCATGTTCAGCCTGCAGAAGCACAGACCTTAGTCAGACTATTATAGTTGAGTGGACACTATATTTACATTGACATGAAAGAAAACAAGGATGTGCAGTCCATTCGATATGTTGTTTTTATAAGATCAAATCTTTGTTCACAGCCAGTATTTTTCTGAACTTTAATAAACTGATGTTCTGTCATCTTATCTTTTTATGTATTTGCATTATTAATGCGGTCCAAACTTAAATTTTTGGTTTTCTTTGTTGTTTGTTTGCAAATTCTGCTTGTAAGCTATTTAAACTCGTTAGCTAGATACTTTTTCTAACTGACGAACATCTTTAAGAATTTGTAAAAAAACAATTGCCACGTGTGCATTTTCTTATGTTTATGAATTTATTCCTAAACATAAAAAATGGTAAAAACATTTACCATTTAATGACCAAATATTACATTCATATATATGAAAATGTATAATAATAAATACTATTTTAAAAATAACTAATATTAAATAAATGTATGGTAACAATATATTGAATTAATATTAAATAAAAAATACATTTCTATGTAATATGAATTTAAATATAAAATAAATTAACATTTATTTAAATATATAGCTAAATACATTTAAAAAAATATTTTGTAATTTAAATTCATTAAAAAAAACTACATTCATACTATAGTTTACTGTAGTGAAATATTGGAAGTAGACTGCCCTGAGAAAAACACATTAGTAGAGACAATTGTGTAATCAATGCCTTGGGGACAAAGTGTGGCAGTTCTCTTCCTCACTCCCTTTTTCATCTTGGACTCCTCAGTGCCTTACTGGGGGTTATAACACATAAGCCAGCAGGACTCCTAGTATTTACATGTCTGATGAACATAATATCCCGTTTCCTTCCTCTGAAAGTGAGATGGGTGAGCAGGGTCCTGTTCATCAAACTGCACTGGGATGCAGGCCAGCGTGGATAATGCTGTCTGAGATATCGCCCTTACAGGAAGAGGCTCATCTCTAACAGGAAACCTGTCTGCTTTACTTTCCAGTTGATGGGTAGAATGAGGGATTTATTTGTCATGCAAAATGGATTCTGGTGCATTTCATTGCAGGGTTGTAAGCCAAGCAGGCTTTATGTCTTTATATACCATCTCTGAGTATCAACAGCTCCTTTGAATCGCATTCAGCCACTATTACCCAGCCTCTTAACCGAAAAGAACGCTTGTCACACCTCTGTTCATCAATTTGCACTGGCTACGAGTAGCTGCTCGCATTAAATTCAAGGCATTAATATTTGCCTACAAAACCACCACTGGCTCTGCACCCATTTACCTAAATTCATTACTTTAGAATTATGTGCCCTCTAGAAGCTTGCATTCTGCAAGTGAACGGCGTATTGTTGTGCCATCTCAAAGAGGCACAAAATCACTTTCACTGACTTTTTCATTTAAAAGCGTCTGCTAAATGACTAAATAAATAAATAAATGTCTCTCAGTAGATGTAGTCGGATAGTTTTTAATACATTTAAGATATAAGTTTTCCATCCTGGTGTACAACCAGGCTTTTTGTTTTCCGTGTTCTCTCAAGGGCCGTAAATCAAGTAAAATGCTAATTGTCCATAAAACTGAATTATTAATATTGTCTTCTCTTTTTGGATCTTCACAGAGAAACTGGCTGAGGCACAGCGCCGATTTGCAACTTTGCAGAATGAGCTGCAGACGTCTCTGGATGCCCAGCGGGAGAGCAATGCTCCAGGGCTGCGCTGTCGCCGCAAAACAGTGTTGCCTTTGTCCAACAAAGAGCGCAACAAACATCGCAACATCAAAGACCTGCAGCTGGCCTTCAGCGAGTTCTACCTCAGCCTCATCCTCCTGCAGAATTACCAGGTCTGATATTTGTCATGGTTTTTGTTTTTGTTGTTTGTCTTCTCTTTTGAATGTTGTCCTGACTCCCTCTTGGGTTTCTTGACCTATCTGGTTTCTTTTTTTTTCTGTGCTTGTTTGACTATTTAATTAATAATTAGCTTTTCATCAATTCACAGACCAGTTTCCGTTAAAGAGCCCTGATCTAAATATTGATGTTCAAATTCTTGAAATATGTTTCATAGCTAAATATTGATTTTTACATTTAAATGGATGAGTTAGACTGGATAGTAAAGAAAAAGCAGTCAACAGGCATCCACTATACATGTGAACACTATACATGTTATGTATTTTATTGCATGAGTTTTTTTCTAAAATGTCTAATTATTTTATTTCATTATTCTAAATAGCAATAATAAGGACTGGGTAGATGTGTCTTAACATGAAGAACTAGAGAATTACACTTTCTTGTTTTAGATCTGAATTCTTAATTTCATATACTAAATTTACCCTAATCACATACAGAATCTGAACTTCACTGGATTCCGTAAGATTCTGAAGAAACATGACAAGATTCTGGACACACAGCGTGGAGCTGATTGGCGTGTGGCTCACGTGGAGGTGGCTCCATTCTACACCTGTAAGAAGATCACACAGCTCATCTCTGAGACTGAGGTAGACTGCCTGGCTCCACGTTTGGACTTCTGACTTCCTGCTCGTATCATGATCTAATTGAATTGGTGTTAGTAGCTGCTGAAACTGATAAATGATGCTTAAAACCCTAGAGCACATTAGAATGAAGTGGAATTCAGGGCAGAAATGACTAAACTAGAGAATGGTGTCTGACCTTTGACCCTTGTGTGCCCAGGCTCTGGTGACCACAGAGCTGGAAGGAGGTGACCGTCAGAAGGCCATGAAGAGACTGAGAGTTCCACCTCTTGGAGCAGCACAGGTGAGAAAAAACTCTGATAGTACATGCAGATGCACACACACACATACACGCATGCAGCAATTGTGTTAATTAACATTTATAATTGGTAGAATCAAAGTTATTTTATATACCAAAGTGACTTTCAATAAAGTGCATGTAGTTTGTTTTTATGATTATTTTAGTGATAAATACAAAATACTAAAGCAAAACCCACATGGAAAGCAACAAGTATGTTAGCAGAAGAATAACATAATAGCAAACAGCCAATGAAAAACATGTGAAAAATATCTGCAGTGTTTTTTTTATGCAGTACTTTTGAAGTACTCATGAAGTACTCAGGAACTACAAAATGTAAAAGGCAGGGTGGGTGGAGAGATACACCTGTGCTTGGAACATCATGTACAATACCTTTTACCTTTAATAGAGAGAATGTATGTGTCTCTCTGTCCTTTGGATAACACAAATATAAAAAAAATTGTGCTGTCAAACGATTAATCGCGATTAATCGCATCCAAAATAAACGTTTTTGCTTACATACTATATGTATGTGTACTGTGTTTATTTATTATGTATATATAAATGTATAAACACACATACATTATATATTTTGAAAATATTTACATGTATATACATTTATACAGTTATATTTTATATTATATATAAATATATTTAATATATAAACAGCATATTTTTCTTAAATATATACATGCATGTGTTTGTATTTATATATACATAATAAATATACACAGTACACACTCATATATTATGTAAACAAAAACTTTTATTTTGGATGCGATTAATCGTTTGACAGCACTAAACAAAATCAACAGGCTTGTTTTTGTTGAAGGCATCTCCTTAACTATTCTAATTAAATCTAATGACTGAACTTGAAATGTTAAGTTGTAGTGACTTAAAATAGCCATTTTTTTTAACGATTACCCATGTGCAAATGCTAATGCAAATCCATTTTATTCAGTATAGTTGTGTATTGTAATAGAAAAGTTACACTGAAATGCGTTTTGTTTGTTTTCCTGAATAATGAAGGGTGAATATTGTAGAATAACAACTGCAGTGATTTAAATGTGCTTTTTCTCAGCCTGCACCTGCCTGGACCACCTTTCGTGTGGGACTGTATTGTGGGGTCTTCATTGTCCTGGCTGTCGCCTTTGTCCTTACTGGTACAGTTTTTTAACCTTGTTTCACACTTAGTCCATGTGCATCTTGCTACACACATTTCATAATGTATAAATTCCAGCATTTCTGCTGATATGCCACTCATTTATGATAGAACAGTTCAGTAATTTATACAGCCTTGTTGATAATCCAACTGTTTGACTGATCCTTCCCTCTCAGGTGCTTTTTTCATTCGTAATCAGAACATCTGGCCACTGGTACGCATCTACCGTGGTGGTTTCCTGTTGATTCAGTTTCTCTTCCTCTTGGGGATTAACACTTATGGCTGGAGGCAGGCGGGTGTCAATCATGTGCTGATCTTTGAGCTGAATCCTCGAAACAATCTTTCACATCAACATCTGTTTGAGGTGAGACACTTAATGTTGAAGGGAAATTTACAGGAAGCTGCCTTTTAAAAGTTTGGGGTCTGTTAGATTTTTTGTTGGTTTGTTTTTTAACTTATAACGGCTGCATTTATTTAATGAAAAATCCAGTAAAAACAGTAGTATTGTGAAATATTATTATAATTTAAAAAAACAGTTTTCTATTTTAATGGAATTTATTTCTGTGATGCAAAACTGAATTTTCAACGGTCATTGTCACATGATCCTTCAAAAATCATTTGTGCTGCTCAATATGTTATGTTAAAACTGATATATCTTTTTTCAGAATTCATTGATGAATAGAAAGTTCACAAGAACAGAAATTTTTAAAAATGGAAATCTTTTGTAGCATTATAAATGTTTTACTGCCAGTTTTGATCTATTTAATGCATCCTTGCTAAATAAAACTTCAATTTCTAAAAAATAAATAAATAAATCTTTCTGTGCCAAACCTTTTGAACTATTGTATAGCTATAAGGACATTGTATTCTGACAGATAAAATATTAGGAAAGGGAAAAAGGGAAGGGAAAACTTTCCAGGTTTTGAAAATATGAAAGAATTATAATGCATCTGGATGTTCAATTTGGTCTTTTTTCCCTTTCTCTTGCTGTAGATTGCTGGGTTTTTGGGGGTGTTGTGGTGTCTCAGCATCCTATCCTGTCTGTTTGCGGACTACACTTGGCTCCCTATGCAGGCGAACCCCCTAATCCTCTACGGCTTCATGGTGCTCTTCCTCATCAACCCCTTCAAAACTGCCTACTACAAATCCCGTTTCTGGCTCATCAAACTTCTGGTGAGAGACAAAACCATTACATTTTATAAACATACAGCTTCTATAGCCACAAAAAATGTATGATAAATAGTGAAAAACCTTTTACGCCAACATAATGTGGGCGGCATTGGCTATTGCATGCTGTTAATTGGCTCCATGCAGATATGCAACACCCGTATTTTATGATCCAATCAGTTTCAGATGGATTTAAAAAGTCCCAATTTCTTCTCATTAAATATCCTGTTTAACTTAGAAATGTGTCAGATTACATGTAAAGTGGGTTATAAACAGAATTTGCAATCTTCATATCCTGTCTTGTTTAAGACGATAAAATGTTAATGTTTTCACTGGAATTACTCTGCTAATAGCAAAACCACCTGTTCAAACACATTTCTAACAAATTCAGTTAAATTAGCTAAGATCTAATTGGCTCATTTCAGTGCACAAACAGCCTCATGCATTTCATCTTCTCTGTCTGTTTCTATTAGTTTTATAGTAGGAACAATTGTTTTCCCCTTGGCCTGTGTGAAAAAAGATATTGTGTGCATGTACACTACGGTTCAAAAGTCTGGAGTCTGTAAGATTTTTTTAAATATTTTTTTCTCGTATGCTCACCAAGGCTGCATTTATCTGATCAAAACTGCAGTAAAATATTGTGAAATACTATTACAATTTAAAATAACTGTTTTCTCTTTTAATATAAATGAAAATGTAATTTATTTCTGTGATGGCAAAGCTGAATTTTCAGCAGTCATTACTCCAGTCTTCAGTGTCCTTCAGAAATAATTCTAATATGCTGATTTGGTACTCAAGAAACATTTCTTATTTTTTTAGTCTTGAAAACAGCTGTGCTGCTTTTTTTTTCATTTATTTATTTATTTTCTTTGCAGAAACCGTATTACATTATTTTCAAGATTCTTTGATGAATAGAAAGTTCTAAATAACAGCATTTCTTCAGGGTGTCGGCGGGGTCTTAAAAAGTATTAAAAGTTGATAAATAAATTTAGAGAAAATGAAGGCCCTTAAAAAGTATTAAAAGTCTTAAATGCCATTTTCCAAGGTATTACATTTTGTATCATCTTTTCATTATGTATATTTGTCGAATAGTGGGGTTCTGTGTAATTTATTTATGAAATCCCGCAAGATTTGACGTCATCTGTTACGGCGCTCACTGACTGACTGCGCTGCTGCGTGATAGCGTGGGGCTTGTTGATCCCGCTCTCACTGAATTTCTGACCATTACCGCACGCTCCCATCCGCTCCCGCGATTTTTGTGTCCGCTCCCGCAAACATTCTAATATTGTACAGTATATAATTTTCGTGTATCAGGGCGCCGCTATATATATGTGGGGTATTTAAATCCCTTTTGAATGAGCACTTGCAGTCGTAGTTCACTTTCACTCTCGATTTCGCGATCGCGCGCTTACTGTGTAAAGGGAGCACATCTTACGATAAAAGATATTTGTCAATGAGCTCGGGATCCGATGTATTTTAGGGATGGAAATTACATTTTTAGATTTGGGACATGGTAATTGCGCTACTTTGGGCTGTTTTTTTTTTTTTTTTACTGGCATGGGCTTGGGATGCACAATTAAAATGATGTAATAGTTGTGATCATTATTTTACCTTCCATGATCATTCAGACTTGATCAGGTGCAGTACTGACACTCTGTCAAGTCTGCATCAAATCAAGCACTCCGTTATCACAGGTAAACTGTCTGATCAGTCAGGTGTTTGTCATGAGAAGTGTTCCACAAAACAGCTATGGTTTGAGCTGATGTGATAAATACATCTTTTGAATATACTGTGTGAACTCATTGCCCCGTTAGCTCGGAGAGCTTTATTTTCCCTCCTCAATAAGTTTTGTCAGTTGTTTTGTTTATTGGTCTGATTCTTGTTTCTTGGGTTGCATTGGTTAGTGACTCAATTAATTATCTTGTGCTTCGTTCCCCACTTCTGAATTATGTTGTATTGATAAGGAGTTATCACAAAGTAAGTCTGTTTAGTTGTGCTATTTTACAATCAGTATAGTAAATGTAAGTTAAAGTGTCGCCGATGTAACCGGTTAAAACTTGGAGTGGCGATGAGGTCTTAAAATGTATGGAAAGAGTCTTAAAAAAGGCCTTAAAAGGTATTAAATTTAACTCCATGATTCCTGTATATACCCTGTTCTTTGAAAATAGATCTTTTGTGACATCATAAAGGTCTTTACTCTCACTTTTTTCCAGTTTAATGATCCTTGCTGAATAAAATAATTTCTTTCTTTCAAAAAATATATTACTGACCCCAAACTGTGTGTACAGAGTGTTTCAGTGAGGTCTTTGCGCGTACATATGTGTGATTATGTGTGTGTCTCTGTGTGAGGTGAGGGAAAATAGATTGCAGCTCTATCTCTGCGGATGTGAAGACTGTGCCTGTGCAATCATTATTGGGATGGAGCCATCAGCAGCCGCCTGCCTCTGTCTCACTGCCCTCCCCACATCTAATTGACCTAGACTGGAGCCTTATTCCTTGGAGCACACGCAGACACACACACACTTCCTGTAGATTAAAACCGACACGTACTGATGGCCAAACAGTGGGTGGCTTTCCTCCCAGAGCTCAAACGTGCTGTCACACTCAAGCTGTGCATCGCACATGCAGCTGTAACCTTGAAATGTACCTTACGTTTAGACCTGTATGTTTAAAAGCATTTTTGTGGACCGCATTCACCTGTTTCATCAGGTAAAAAGAACTGATCAGGGTTTGTGTAGGGAGAAATTGATTTTCACTGGCATTTGAACCTCAAGAGTATGATGGCATAGATCGGTGTAGTGCAAAACTGTGTCGCTGGGAAATGTCAGCAGTAGCCTGAAGGCTGAGAGAGGTACAATTTAATTTCGTACTTTTTAATTTTTCAACCTTTTAGTATTGAAATTATTAATATTATTAATAATATTTTCTACATTTGAAGGCAAAGCTGCTGGTACTGTTTACCCTGAAGTCACACATTGGAAAAAATACTTCATTCAATAATTCATGATCTATATCCAAATAACTTAATTCAACATGGCATAAAACCTATTTTAAAATGTTTTTTAGCATTAAAAATGGTTAGTATTACTTTTCTCATGTGCATTACTCAATCACTGGCAGCTGTGTATACAGTATATATATATATATGGTCATGTGACAAACATGATACACAGTTTGCTAGATTAATTGGATTGCAACACATCCAACCCCATCATTACTTATACACAGTATAAGTTATACACTTATACACTTATTGCAGATGACCAGCTAATAAAAACCCCATTGATTTGCTTTCAGCCAGCTGAGTTCTCATTAAGATTTTTCGCTCTCATAAAGTTCACTCTGCCTCAGGGATAAGCTGTTATACATAACCTCATTTTAAGAGAAAAAAACACTTGTGATGATTTCTCCTGTTTATTATTGTCCTCAGTGATTACCTTAAGCACTGTATACAGTATAAATATTTAAACTTCATATTTTCTGTGTTTGTAGTTCCGTGTCTTCACCGCCCCATTCCACCGTGTGGAGTTTGCAGACTTCTGGCTGGCAGATCAACTCAATTCTCTGGTCATTGTTCTGTCGGATCTGGAGTATCTGGTCTGTTACTACAGCATGGAGCTGCAGTGGGGAGATCGCAGCGGCTTACTGCCCTCCACATATGGTAATTGATTCAGAACGAAGCCATCCTGTATTGTGCTGATTCAAGTTTTGACTGACTGAGCCATTCATGTTGAACCATCCTAATTTCAGCATTCGATGTAATGGTAGATGAATGGCCGGTTATGATTAGTTGCTCTTGCACATGAATTAAGATTGTACTGGCAGTGTCAACATAGACAGGAGTTCTTCAGGTTCAGTGGAGTTTATCATGTGAAATGGACCAGGAAATTCAGAACATCAGCGGCTGTGTAATGGTGCAGAAATATGTCACACCAACTCAGGAATATAGGAAAATACTGAGAAAGAAGAGGAGGGAAAGTGCGTGAGCAAGACGAAGAGAGAGTAAGAGAATGTGAGCAACAGAGCTCAACAGTACGGTCTGGTCAAGTATTAGTAGTTCAGATATTTACTTCCAAATATGATGAATAGGCCCAAAATATTTGGAAAATTATTTCTTAATTTTTTTCTTAATGAAGTTTATACTTTTATATTTTTGTAAAATATTTTATACAAATATTTTGTATTAATGTATTATTAGTAGTAGTATTATATCATTTCAATGTAATTTTTGAAAAAGATAATATATCTCTGTGACCGTTATAAATTCACAAACACACATTTTCTGGCTTTCTTGCAATTTTGACAACATTTTTAATTTCTGTATTTAAATGTTTTTGTATATATGAAAATATATTTCAGGTTATCAAAACTAAATGCATAAGATTTCAAGACAAAATCCTAATTGTTAATTGCTATTTTATAATCATCATTTAATTTGTAGAAATACATATAAAAATTATGGTTTTATGTTTGTATATGCTTTAACATTACTACAATATTGAGAGTACAGTCTTGGAAATATCAATGTGCATTCATAATTATCTCCTCCTACATAAGGTGATGAAAGGTGTAACAGCTATTCTTATGGAGTTCGGGCCATCATCCACTGTCTGCCTGCCTGGCTGCGGTTTGTTCAGTGTCTGCGACGTTACCGTGACACCAGGAGGGCCTTCCCTCACCTGGTGAATGCTGGGAAATACTCCACCACCTTCTTTGTGGTCACATTTGCGGCCCTCTACAGAACTCATAAAGGTAAGAACAAACAAACTGAAATTAATTACAAATATTACGTAATCATGTAACCAGTACATTCACTTATTAAAGCATGTTACAATTGTTATGATCAGCTTGACAAACAACAGTATGAACAGTCTGTGCCAAGTTTGGTGAATGTAGTTTAAAGGTATAGTTCACCCAAATAATGAAAATTCTATCATTAATTACCAGTGTTGGGGAAAGTTACTTTTAAAAGTAATGCATTATAAAATTGTGGTTGAACCACTGATGTCACATGGACTATTTTAACAATGTCCTTACTACCTTTCTGGGCCTTGAACGTGTCAGTTCCATTGCTGTCTATGCAGGATCAGAAAGCTCTCGGATTTCATCAAAAATACCTTAATGTGTGTTCCGAAGATGAACAAAGGTAATACGGGTTTGGAAAGACATGAGAGTGAGTAATTAATGACAGAATTTTCATTTGTGTGTGAACTATCCCTTTAAAGAAGATTAAAGAAGCTCTAGAAGTTTTGTCTTGATGGAATCTGGTTAAAGCTTGTTTGCATTAATATAATGAATATGTTGTTTTACTGTTCTGTGAAAATTGCTGTTATAATCTAGCACTGACTGATGTAAAATGTTCAGTACAAAGAGAGCACCTGGGTGCCATTGTTTGCCTACAGATACAGATGAATGGGCAACAAAAGCATGTTTTGAGAAAAGCAGAGAAAGAAAAAAATGACCCTGAGCCTGTCCTTGTCTGTTAGAGACTTGGTTTATATAGCAACATAAACAGCAAGCATCTAAGTTTTATGTTAGAGATGAATTGCACAAAGACTGGGACATTTTTATAACCTAATAAGAGCTGTAGGAAACAGGTTGGAACTGCATTTATGCATTTAAAAAAGACCTGCCTGCTTTATAAAAACTAATTTGTCGCCAAACACCACATTATGCATGATTCGATCACAGTAATTATCCTACGTTCGGTTCATATGAACTCTTAAAGAGTTTAAAAGCATGCCATTAAGATTCCAGACATATCCCACGTGTCTATCTACAATTACCATCTGATTATTCTGCCACTGAAATCCATCTGAAGTGCAAAGACTGCTGCTCAAACATGTCTTTCTCTGTCTGTCTCACTCTCTTATCAAACAGTCAGCCTCCATGCCTGCCCGTATCTCTTCAGAAAGACAACTTCAGCCCAAATCGATCTCAAAGCACTCGGCTAAACCGTTTCATCCATTTCATTATTTATATGCACACATGGTCGTTTCAGTTTTTTTCCCTTAAATGTCTGTGTTTAAATATCAAGCATCGGTGCATTTTGCTCTAAACTTACGTGTGTATTAGAAACATCTCTGTATCAGTGATATAGATGAAGTCTGGACCGCAGCCCAGAGCATCTGCCTCATATGTCTAAAAGAGGCCGCATTTAACCCAACATGGCAACCTTGCCACGCATTTGATGCATTCATTAGGATCCGCTCGAGGCAGAGAGCCTGTTCCTGGCAGAGAGCCTGTTTGATATATGAATTCATCAGAAATCACCATCATTTGTGCCCTGATTGAAACTGATGTTCGCTCTAGTAAGCTGCCCAGATAAATGAGTCTGTGGATTCAATTTATTTTAGTTTCCATGTAAGCGAATCCCAAAAGAATGCAACATGTCTGAGCATAAGTAATGTTTAAATTAACATAGTCATGAGCCAAACAGGTGTGTGGGATTGAGAATAGTGGTAGAGATGAAAAGCATTACTGTTTTCTCATGTGTAGAGTTGGCTTAATGGTTAAAATCTAGATTTGCAACCTAAAGGTTGTAGGTTCAGTCCCAATGATTTGTAAGTCTTTGTGAACTTTAATTATTGAAGTTTAATGTGTTACTCACCCTGCACCCTGGCATTATGACTGCAAGTTTTGCATTGGTAAGTGGTTCTTATCCGTCAATAACCCCATTACACCTGCTTTCATGTTTAGTGCTCTATTTCATTGTAGAAGTGATTGTAGAAATGGTAGAGAGTCCATATCCTCAAAGATTTCATTTAAATGTTAATGAGAAATGTCGATTTGAGCTTAAGCTCAGCTGAAGAACTCAATGACATCCAACAAGACAGAGCAAAATGCAAACAGAAGATGCTATGTGAACACTAAGAAACGATTACAGGGGAGAGAAAATATGAAGCGAGAGAATGAAAAAGAAAAGAGAAAATGAAGCAAAATGGACTATCCAGAGGAGGTTGAGCTGTAATTGCCTGCCTGTGGCGAGACAGAACAGTGTGAGTGTGAGTATTGCTAGAATAATGATGAAGCTTTGAAGCACTGAAATATGATTGGATTTTTTTTCTCTCTCACTCTGTATCAGACCTGGATCTTTGATCAAAACAAGCATTTTAGAGGAGAGCTATAGAGATTTGTACATGGACAGGTGTTTACCTGCTCTGATGGCTGCGTTAGTCAGGTTTAAACTGTTTCACGCGGACCACATGTACCCAGGAATACATATTGTCCAGATGGAGAATGCAGGAATGATTGACTATGTAGTCACATAGCACAGCTTGATTTTAAACTTCACCGTTGTAATGTTAACCCCCAGCATGTGCATAAATATTACAGTTTAGTACAGATTAATCAGTTAACATACATGGTCAGTATTGGTTTGGAATTTTTTTTCCATACCTGGGCTTAAATTCAATGATGCTCTATTTATTCTATTCATTTGTTTTTTTTTTCTTTTGTCATGTAGCCATCATGTGGTCAGGTGCAGAGATTGACACATTCTATTCCCCATTCTGTACTCTATTACCAAAGACACCTAAAAGCTGTCAGTGTTGATAGGATGAAAACAATTTATTGTGTGTCCGAGCACTCGGAGGGATGTTGAAAGGTATTTGTGGTCCTCTGGGAAATGGATTTGGGTCATCGTGGTTCATGTTTACATAAATCTGCCATTGTATTAATGAGATTAACCCAAAGTTCAGTGTGACCAGTAGCGGTCGACCGATATGGGTTTTTTAATGGCCGCAGCTGATATCTAAAGAGTAGGGTGGCAGATGGCCTGTATTTACATATAATGATGACAAATGAGATCGAATATTTGATTAAAATTCACTGAATAATTGAAAACAGAAATCTGTATTATCAGTTGACAAGGAGTTTGGAATTGATACAATAAGGAACTAACACTTCTGTTTATTGGCCTAACTTGCACAGTTATTGGTGAATGCTGTTGAGCTCAATTTGACCATAATTTGCATATCCATCTGATATATATCCAATTGTCTTATTGAAAGGAAAAATATAATGGGCCAAATACTTTCATGAACATTACTGTTCAAAAATTAGGGGTCGGTAAGAGTCTTTTATGCTCACAATGGCTGCATTTATTTGATCAAAAATACAGTAAAAATCATGTGAAACAAATACAGTATAAATACAGTAAACACCAAGTGAAACACTGCCGTTTAAACTGTAACTTTTAACCTTTATATTTGAATATTCATAATAACGGTTGTGCTGCTTAATATTTTTGTAGGGGCCACCATACTTTTTTTTTTTTTCAGAAACAAAACAGCATTTATTTAAAATAGGTTTTTTTTGTCACAAGTCTTTGCCAGTTTTGATCAATTTAATGTGCCATTGATGAATGAATGAATGTGTATATATATTACTGACTACTGACTCCAAGCATTAGAACGGTATAGATAATCAACAAAGTTTACTTTCATAGTATTTTATTTGTCAAAAAATATTAGTCAAGGTTTCAATCACCCTAAAAATATTTTTTAGTGTTTCATGACCATTTTCCAGCCTCTTTCTGACCTCTGAATTACTCGAGCTATTTTTGCTCCTGTACCTTTAAGACTTTTAAAGGTAAATGCCTTAGTTTTTGTAGGTGATCTAGTTTTGGTAAGGTTGAGCAAAAGGTTTTGTCAAAGTGCAGTATAAATGCTCTGTCATGTGTATTAAATATAGAAATATCTTTCATTGTAAAGTGTGAAACAAAAGACTGAAAATCAGCCCAAGCTTCTCCAGATTGCTTGTGGCCTGTGTGAAGAGATTAGACCAGCATTGCACTCTTAAAGGGTCTTATGGGGTGAACATCTGGATTTTCGGGTAATCTCAGGACACAATATTGAACATGAGCACTTGTAGATCAGAGCTGAAATAGGATGGACAGGGCTATTATGTGTTCTGGCGAAAAATGTGTTTCCTGGCGCCTGGATGGCAGCGTGTGAAAGGCTTTATTAAGACTGATGGGCCTGTTCCAGATTCAGCCCCGTCTGCTGTCTGAGGCCTGAGAGATTTAACCATTCACTGACCTGAGACCTGCACTGTTCCACTATCTGATAAATGTCTCGCCCCCTATTAACTTAAGCTGATGCTCTAATATTGTACTGCAGGATGCCTCTTACTCTTATATTTCAGCTCTGCCTACTCTGTTTTTGTATTGTATTGCCCTTGTGCAAAATGGATATCTTCTGGCATGGTTCCATATGTTCTCCCATGCCTCATCATCAATACTAGCTGCTAATTCCTTTTCCCATACAGCATTTATCCTCTGCCTTTCAACAGATTATACGCAGCTACTTCTGGGTTATTTATGTTTAAGGGATGTATTATTGGTAATATTGGTCTTAGTTGCAGCAAAAATAGCTGCTGATCATATTACATGTAGTTCTTTTTATATATTTGTTATAAATGAGAATAAGGAATAAGGAGTTAGAATATTAAGAACTAGATGCAATGTAATAATTTTGTGAAAGAGTAATGTAAATATATCTGGATATACACTGTTGTTCAGAAGGTTCGTAAGATTTTTTTGATGTTTTTGAAAGATAGTCTTCTATGCTCACCAAGGTTTCATTTATATGATCCAAAATATACTGTCACCACAATATACAGTATATTGTCACATCTATCTGATCAGAAATGCAGTAACAATATTTTAAAGCAGTTTAAAAGAACTGTTTTCTATTTTAATATATATTTCAATGTAATTTATTCATGTAATGGCAAAGCTGGATTTTTAGCATCATAATTACAGTCTTCAGTGTCACATGATCCTTTAGAAATCATTCTAATATGCTGATTTCAGTTTGCAAGAAACTGCATTTTTATATGCATATGCAGCAGAGAGTGAAAATAGTGTTCACTTGTTCACTAGATTTGAGTTTATATAAAAATATTTTTATTGTTCTTGTAACTTTAATTAAAGGTGCGTCAAAGCATTTTAGTCATTGTATCATTGTTTTAATAATATAAACACCTTATTATATTACATGGTCATTTGAGATTGAATGACCTTTCAGTGACCTGGATGAATAACCACAGACACAATGGCATTAGTACTGCAAACAGTGGTCTCAAACAAAAACAAAACATGTAGTATCCAGAATCCAACTGATGTTTGTTCGAAGTGTAGATGGATGGATGGGAAACCGTCTCCCTCTAGTGGACATAGTGGTAATATCAAATTCACTTCCTCTGTTTCAGATCAGATACACGCCGATGCTGAGGTGTTTTTCTACATGCTGATCCTGTCTTCAGTTGTCAGTTCACTCTACACACTGATCTGGGACCTAAGGATGGACTGGGGTCTTTTTGACCGCAATGCAGGCGAGAATACCTTCCTGAGAGAGGAGATCGTTTACCCACATAAAGTAAGATATGGCAGAAAATAATATACCATCTTATTGCACCATATAGAATGTCAAAACATAAATGTGTTGCGCAATGGTCAAAAATCTGCTCTGGTGAGCACAATGTTGTAGGTTCAACCCTTCCGAGGAGCAAAGCAAAATAATCCTGCTAATCAGTTGGTTTGCTGCTCTTAAGCTGGTTTAGTTGGTGCCCAAAACCAGTTGGAGCCCAGCAGACCAGCTTAGGTTGGTTTAAGATGTTTTCATTTTCAGCAGGGATATTTATCTGTTACCACCAGTTGTCATGATGTCACTTCCTCTTCCTTTTAGGCCTACTACTACTGTGCCATTATAGAAGATGTGATCCTGCGCTTCGCCTGGACACTGCAGATCTCTCTGACTTCCATGACTGCCATTCCTTCCATCGAGGACATCGTGGTCACCATTTTAGCTCCTCTGGAAGTGTTTAGGTGAGATGATTGTGTAAAACAAGGATTCCCAAAATTTTCATCAGCTGAATCCCTTTGAGCTAAAAAGTAACCCCTCAGATTTTAAGTTACTATTTCAATAATTTAACTACACATTCACATTCTTGGTTCTCTATTGGTGGTTAATGGTCACATGACATGCCGGTAAAGAAACAAAATGTTTTTTTTTGTTTGTTTTTTTTGACATTTTTCTGATTTAAGTAATTATTCGTTTTTCATGAATTCACAAACCCCCTCCAGTTCCCTCACAAAGCCCATTTTTGGAAACCTTGTTGTAAAACATTCTCTCTTAATCTTTTGAATTTTGTTTCTCTCCCTGTAGACGTTTCGTGTGGAACTTCTTCCGTCTTGAGAATGAGCACCTGAATAACTGCGGTGAGTTCCGAGCGGTGCGGGACATCTCAGTGGCTCCTCTAAACGATGATGACCAGACGCTGCTGGAGCAGATGATGGACCAGGAGGATGGAGTTCGGAACAGACAGGGTAAAAAGAGCTGGAAACGGAGCTACAGCCTGTCCTTACGACGACCCCTGCTATCCTCACAGTAAGAGATTTGTATTTATAGATTTTTTAATATTTTTATTTTTATATTGTATATATCATACATATTTCATAGAGTTATAAGTAGGCAGCTTTGTTTAGTACACCTGTATACAATTCATATTCAGTGAAATTACTGATAAGACTTAAAAAACCTTCATAAACAACTCATTAACAAACAAGTGATCCAATAAATCCAATAATCCAATAAAAAACTAATTGATTTTATTCAAGTTAAAAAAATATTATTTAACTTCACCAAGATCCAATTCACTAAAAAATTTTTTTTAAATAAAATCATTTTTTATTCAAGTTAAAAAAATATTATTTAACATCAATAATCCAAGTAACTGAAAAAAGTTACAAATTTAAAACTAATTGATTTTATTCAAGTTAAAAAGTATTATTTAACATCACCAATAATCCAATGCACTGAGAAAAATGTTAAAAATATAAAACTAGTCGGTGCCCATAGCCTTGTGGTTAGTGTGTCGACATGTAGCGCAACTGCGCTCATGGCGACCTGAGTTTGAATCCCGCCTCGAGGTCCTTTGCTGATCCTGCTCCCTTCTCTCCTCCCAGTGCTTTCCTGTCAGCTTTCTACTGTCCTCTCACAATAAAGGCATAAAAAGGCCATTAAAAATATATATATAAAACTAACTGATTTTATTCAAGTTAAAAATAATATTTAACATCACCAAACCTATTTAAATTCATTAGGTTTTACACACACACACACACACACACACCAAAAAACAAAACAAAACTAAAACTAAAACGCAAACACTTTTTTTTATGGTGTAAATAACGGATCTACTATATAATAGCTACCATATAATTCTAATATGCTGATTTGTGCTGAAGAAACATTTCTTATTTTTATCAATGTTTAAAACAGTTGTGCTGCTTAATATTTTCGTGGAAACCATGACCATTAACCCTTTTTTCCCTGAAAGTTCAAAAGAACGATATTTATTTGATATGACATTTTTGCAAAACCAAAATCTTACTGACTCCAAACATCTGAGGTCGGTAAGTGGCATATTATTAATATACATGTGTGTTTTTCTGACAGGTCTAAGAAAGATACTAAGGTGCTCATTGAGGATACGGATGATGAGGCCTTCAGCTGAACCCAGATCTCGCTGTCACACCACCTGTCTCTGCTTTCTGTTGGTTCCTCACAAAGCTGCCTCAGCACACCTGACCCCAAACACACACAGATACATACATATTCACACACTCTCTCTTTTCAACACTCACCAAACCATCCAAACACAGAGTAGTGGACAGAGTTAAGCACAAAAACAGCCGTGAGACATATCAGGACACAACAGTGACATCGTACAAACACTAACACACACATACAACGAGATATACACACGCACGGAAAAGCCAAGTGTGGAATTTTCCTCAAGGTACTTTTTTTATTAGACTTTTTCATTTCGTTCCTCTATATTGATACTTTTTTGTACATTTGTTTAGGTTTTTGAATCTATATTACTGCATATGACTGTTTACAAACTTAAAATAATAACTAGGAACTACAGGGAGGAGAGTTATTATATGAAAGAATAATATATCGTACACTGCACAGACTCAAGTCGTACACTATAACTGCAGCGCATTTAGAAATAACAACAGCTCAGTAGCTGATGTTTGTTATATTCTTTTAGTTTTTGTTTTTTTCTTCTTTCATTTTATTTGTTTTTTGAGTTGTCATGACATCAGAGTACGGCCCTGGTGGCACTTTTTGGAAATGCTTCATATTTCTAAACCATAAAAAACATACAATGTTTAGAGAGTTATTGTTTCATCATATTTAATATGAAAATATTTTATTTTTTAACATGCATTGCTTTGATATCAAAGCTGTCATATTTTTGCCATGTATGGTTTGTGTTTGAGAGAATGGAGTGTGTGTGCGTGTGTGTGTGTGTGTGTGTGTGTGTGTGTGTGTGTGTGCTTTTGGGGAGCGATAGCTGATGTTAAACAAAAAGTTTATATTCTGCTGTCCTCCTGCTGATGTATAGAATTGTTATTTTTATTGATACTTTGACCAGTAAAACTACTATAAGTAAACCTGACATTGCTGGTTAATATTTGAAATACTATTTGGGTAAAAAAAAAAAAAAGATCAGATGATTCTGTGAACTATTTCAAATGCAATGATGCACTAAACTGAAAAGATTCAGGAATACAGTAATTGTCACCCAACTGCAAACTGAATGGAAGTGGACACATTTTTATTGAACTAATGTGTTTCCTACATGGCTTTTTGTATCACTTATTAAGCATTGCCATTACCACTGCAAGCCAAAGAGGAAATGCAAACACTGCCAGTCGATTATAATTCTTATGGTTGTGATATCAGTTTTAAATGTTGTGCATCAAAAAGTAGTTCCAGGGTGGTGAGGAGACATAAGTTTTTTCCTCATCAACATCTTAACTATGGTCACAATTTGATTATTTGTATGCTTGATGAATGTGACAATATCTTTAGAATCAGTTTTACATTTTGATGAAAAAATGTGATTGTATGTGATCTATAATGTACATTTACAATGTACATTTTTGTGAGACAGGTATAACTACCTTGTCTTTCATACATTTTCATACATAGTCTCTGAATTTCAAACAGCATATTTAGGAGAAAAGCATCTGTTTTTTGCCTCTTTATCATAATGCTTCGATAGCAGAAAGTGAAGACTGTCATTTTAACTTACAATGACTTTTATTATGATTAATACCCATTGTTGTAATCAAAAAAAGAAAAGAAAGAAAAGAAAACACCAGGGCTGTTTTAGCTGATATGCATGTATTGCTTACATTTTTCAGCTTTTAGTTTATTTAGATACTCTTTCAGCAGCATGCATCCTTGTATTTTTGCAAGCACAATCTTTCAGCTGTAACTAAAATCAAATGAAAAGATGAGTTTGTCTTCACAATCTCTCTTCTCATTTGCTCTTTAAAAGAAACGTGTTAGTGCTAACGAAAAAACAATGTACAGATAGCAGGCGTTGTGTTTGTGAGTAACATTTTAGTTTACACATTTAAGGCTAAATTTAAATGTTCATAGTTTGGATTACAAATCTAACAGAAGAAAGGAAAAACTACATGTGATTTGTGGTTGCAAAAGAATGCTATCCTCATTGAAAATGTGGTGTTACTGTGTTAACGTGCGGTCCTTTTGTCCTTTAATATTAATGAAATGTCAATCTTCTTGTTCTCAAAATGATCCTTTGGCACACTGTGTCTTACTTTGCTGTCTTTAGTTCTTGACTCTCAGAACTGACTGAATCCTTTATTGAGTAGACTATCGAGTGGCACACAAAAAAATGTAGAAATGATACACTTTCTGAACCAATATCACCGTATATGGATGCTGAGCACAAATTTGCCCCATCCAGTGCTTTTTGTAATGCATTGCCAATTGTCTTGCCTGCATGCTGCTTTTGTTTTGCACTGTAAATTGTTTAATTTTGTACATTTTAAATGTGTAAAAGAATGTCGGTTAATTTATAGTACTAATTATTTATGTACAAGGTGGAGACTCTAGCTTTAAATGAGCAGTATTATGGTAGATGAAGGGCATTTTTGATTAATCACAATCCCACAGTCTTACATGTGAATTCTGTCGAAATAGTGTAACTTAAGAAGCATTAGTGAATATGGAATGTGATCGGTTTTATCTACAGTAGGTGTATATTTCTACTCATAACACTTTCATCCCCAGGGTTTGTGCCCATTTGACAGGATTTGTTGGGTGACGTGGTTTTAGGTCGATATCATGAACTGATCTGGCTGGGGAGGATTGAGAGATGATTGGGACACGTTAACATTCTCATTAACACCCTATCTAGGGGTTCTGTTATGAGACGAACCCTCAAAATGTAGGGTTTTGATCTTGTACTTTTTTTTTTAACTATTTCAAATACAGAACTGGAATAATACACAAGCCCTGACATCATTTCTTCATGGGGGAAATCTATGTCGACTTGATTGCTTGCTAAACCCATGATGTTAAGTGCTTGATATCTCTGCATCTTTTCTAACTCCTATCTTGATGTTGTATCCCTTCTTAAATACTTGACTGTGACATTGTTTGTAGTTGATAGATGGTTGTACTTTTGCGTAAGTAAAGACTTACAGAAAAATAGAAAAAAACTTGTGGTTCTGTGATTAAATAGAGATATAAAAAGAGAGAAAATGTCTCGAGTTGACCCTTTTACAGAGTAGTTTGTAAATGTTGAGTGTATTCCTATGATGGTTCCACTGATGATCTCATTTGTGTTTCTGTATACACTTTGGTGATCCTGTCTATTTGGGTTTTATAAACCACGCTTATTTTTAAAACCTTCATTTTGTGTCAGCCTTTTTATTTTACTTTTCAAAAACAAGAGACTGACTCCAGTAACTAATTTAATGAATATTCAAATGTGATTTTTTTTTTAAATGTATGACTAAACCAAGAGTAAACATGACACTTGTCATGCAATTTCTCATTTAGAGTGTGGTGAACTTTGACATTCAAAAACGAACCTCTGATACATACAAATGAATAATAGTGTAGAAAATGTAGTCTTTATACAAGAATATATAATAAATTTGATCAGAATTACTGGTCAAAGCAATTAATGAGTCATAAAACATTTTAAATCAATGCAAAACAACTTTTCTACAACATTCTCCCAGAGAAGAAAAACGTGTGCACAATCCCATTCATGCCTGCGGCCGCTGAGATCCCGTACACCCCGCCTTCTTTCGGTTTGTGCGCATGCGCTTTTAAATTCTCCACAACTCCCTCCGTTTCCGGGCGCTAGGATCGAGCGCACAGCTGCCGCCGAATTTAAAGAGACATACATCATTTGTTTAAATAATACGACCATTGGAAAAAAAATGTACATGCATTGTTTCTGGTTCTCTTCGCGGGTATCGATGGGGGCTCGTCATTGTTCTGAACACTTGACGGTGTAGTTTTAGTAGGGATTGAGAGGTCTGAACACACTTGCGGGCTTGAGCTGGAAGTCTATACTGGAGTAACTGGGTGGCCGTCGGTAAAGTAGACCGGACTTGTGGGGGGAAGAGAGCTGGGTGGCCCCCCGATACGAACTGATTTTTGTACGCCAGAACAACCTGCAAACACGGAGGGACGGTAAATCATCGTGGCTTCGGTGGCTGTTGGTGGGGAAGGAAACGCACCATGGCGAAAATTCAGGCTCGCAGCAGCACTGCGAAGCAAATCAACCAGATCCAAGACAAGGCCTATGTGGTTCAGAAGCAAGTCCAGCAGCAGCACTTTCAGAAACTAAAGGTAAGAAGCATTGCAGCAAGTGCATGTGTTTCCTTCTCTCTTACAACGCATTGTGTATTAGGAAGTGCTGTGCTGTTCATATGCATATGGAGCATATCAAAGCATTCACACTGAGTGTGTGTAAATGGATTTGAAAATCTTGCGCACTTATTTACATTTCAAGCTGGAAAAGTCGATTTGCTGTCGCTTAACGCACAGATTCCTAGCATTGCTAGTTTACCAGTCAAACATGATGGAAGTGTATCTGCTGAATTAAAGTCTGATGTTTTCTCCTTACGCGGTCGTGTTTTCACCGCTGCTCTTTGTTAAAACCAAAACCGGTAGATATTTATTGTGGCTCCGCCAAAAATCACACTTCACACTCCGTTTGTTTTAGATTAAACCGGTTTATTTTATATAATTGACGTAGATAAGAGAAAGAAGGGGGGTTTTGCTCTGCTAACAGCTGCTTTTGTCATAAATGTGTCCCTTTTCCTTTTAAACCGACCTTTGAAAGAAATGAAAAGTGTATGTTAAGCATATCTGAAGCGTTTCTCTGTTAAAAAGCAGTTTGAATCGCGTTTTGTTTGTTTTTGTTGTGAAATCGTAGCGGGGTTGTTGTGTGTTGTGGCTAGTGCTAACGCAGCAAAGCTTAAGAGTCAGTGAGCCTTTATTTTCCTCACTGAATATTAATAAAACCACAAAGAGAATATAAACCGGCTGTTTTTTTTCTCTCACAGACCGCTTGATTTGGGTCAGTTTTCTGCTTCGAAGTGGTTGGGTAGGGACATTGTAACTTCTTTTTATCTTGAAGGTTTATTTAAGCGTGTGCTTTTTTTTCTCCTTGGGTTTTGTTCTTGTGAACAGAGAGGAAAAATCGAATAACTTGCGTTTTGTATGTGTGTAGTGGTTTAGATTTCACAGTGCTTTTTTGTTTCTCTTGCATAATTCAAAGAATGTAGACAATGTGTTACTTTAATAGTAGAAGCAAATGCAGAGTCATTCAATGTGATGTGGCTCCACAATAGAAATGGACTTGATGTCCCACATCGGTCCTTTCCGAGTCAGAAAATTGGCACAATGCCACCATGGTATTTTGGCCATACCTTAGATGCGTACCTTAGAAGAAGTACTGTGGCAGTAGTATGGTGTAGTTATTTGTATCATATGGTAATACCATGGTACTTTAGTATATAACATGGTAGTGAAATTCATGTATCTTTGCATTATGCTCCAAGGTACTTCCATTGTACTTGTCAAAAAAGTAACAGACATAAATACATGTTATTACGTCTCATACCTTTACTGTACCATGGTACAACCACAGTACTTTTGTAACTGTATATATATATTTTTTGTATTATGTTGTTTGGAAACATAATTTGGGTAAACAAGATTTACATCTGTTGCAGGTGGAGGATGCCTTATCTTACTTGGACCAAGTCAAAATACGGTTCGGAAATGATCCGGGAATATACAATAAGTTTCTGGATATCATGAAGGAGTTTAAATCTCAAAGGTATGTAGGTGTCTGTGCATTTTAAATGTGCTTTAATGCTCAAAAAGCCCTCAGTGATTGTATTTCTGATATCTCCGTCCACAGCATTGACACACCAGGAGTTATCAACAGAGTTTCTCAGCTCTTCCATGGGCATCCTGACCTTGTCCTGGGGTTTAATGCCTTTCTACCTCTCGCTCTCTCTCTTGCTTTCTCTCTCGCTCTCTCTCTCGCTCTCTCTCTCTCTCTCGCGCACACATACACACACACACGATGCGCAAAACTCCGCATTTGAACAGTCAATAGCAAATACTTAAACTAATAATAAAACAGTAGCTGATTCAGAAGCGCCAGATTGTCATACCAAAGTCAGAATTACCTCCTCTCCTAGGTTCACGAAACGGTCGTCCATAAAATGCATTGCTGTTCTGTTGTAAGTAATCTTAAAGATTCCTAAATGCATCTACTTTCGGAAGGCCAAATAAAGTGCTTTTGCTTTCGCCTAGAAACACACAGCGTCTCCCTGACATGGCTGCTTCAACACTAACTGCGGTTACTGAAACCACGCCTTCTTTCTTTGCGTGAACATTTGGGCGGCATTACGCAAATATTTCCACATAGTGAGGTAGATATGTGGGGGCGTGTTAGAACGAGCCGTTTTAGGGGGGTGTGGCAGAGTCTTAACTTTGATAAAGAATATCTCTTTGGTTTTGAGACTTTAGTCTTTGCAACTTCAGGGATCTTATCTATTCACGAACAGCTTGTAACACTCCAAAGAGAAAGGAAAACTTGAAATCGCATTATATGACCCCTTTAATATATTTTATTTTAAAATATATTAAAATAGTAAACAGTTATTTTTGATTGTAATAATATTTCAGAATATTGAATGAATAAATGCAGTCTTGTTAAGCATAAGAGACGTATGCATTAGAAAACAAACAAAAAAACACTGTATTAAATTAGTTTTGTTATAAAATATTGTTGCATCTCCATTAAATAAATGCACCTTTAGTGAGTGTTAGTTTCAAAAACATTCATGAAATCTTCCCGACCCCAAACTTTTGAATTGAAGTGTATGTTTTGCATAAAAGTTATGTATTCTTGTTCTCCTGTTGTAATAAACCTATGTGGGGATGTTGGCTTTCTTGGTGTATTAAAGTAAGGCTGTTCTTTGGTTTCTTTTCTCTCAGGTATCTCCGGGACCAGGAAGGAGCACGGGCAGCTCTGTGGTTAGTGCCTCTTCATCAGCAGTGGCTGAAGCAGGATCAGCTCCGAATGAAGCTGTGACCTCTCCGGAGAGCATCGCTTCATCATCTGGACCTCCTGAACAATCAAGCAGGTTGTCACTTCCTCTGCCCAGCCAAGAGAGCCAATCACAGCCGGCCACCACGTCGGTGTCCCCTCCCACATCAGAGCCCAGTCCTGTGGAGTTTGATAGTGCCATCAGTTACGTCAATAAGATCAAAAACCGATTTTTGGACAACCCAGAAATCTACCGGGCCTTCCTGGAAATTCTACATACATACCAGGTGAGAACAATAGTGAAATCACATTTTTATCCATTTTTTTCTTGAGGTTTGACCCTACCTGCAACCTTTTGTATTACCAGCCCAGATAATAACCGGTTGGCTACCACCAATATCACAGAGCAAGACTTTTGACTATCCACATAAAGTCTGGTCCACTATGCAGCATATTCTGGTCAAGAACTTTCCTTTTGTTATCTGCCCTTTAGATCAGCAAAAATGTCTGTAGCCTTTGTGATCTGAATTTCTGTCTCTGTAAAAGTATTAAGTTCTCATAATTTCACAGACATTAAATATTAGGGCTGGGACAATAAATCGATGCATCGCGAATCGAGAAATGATTCTGCATCGATTCTGAGATTTTCCGAAGACATCGCGATTCTCTCTTGTATCGATTCTGAGCTTAGTTTTTAACAGCAGATGGCGCTGCGTGCTTTAGAAATAGCCGTATTCTGCTTGCTTCCAGTTCCTTACACACGCACCATTTGAACCTAAAATAATCATTCATAATGTAGAAAAGGTTGAAGCGAATTACAAGGATGTTCATAGTGGGCTGTGTTTACATTAATCTCGCATCATAAAAGCATAAAAGCCGATGTGCAAGTACATTTAACCACTTACATTACTCAGCCGAACGCACAAGCGCTCTTCTTCATGAGCATTTGAGTGTGCGGTTAAAAACTAGCCTAGAGTGCCATCTGCTGTTAAAAACTAAGCTCAGAATCGATTCGAGAGAGAATCACGATGCATTCCGAAAAACTCAGAATCGATCCACGTATCGCGATGCATTGATTTATTGTCCTAGCTCTGTTAAATATACATTTCTGCTTGTGGATGTCTTGCATTTCAGCAAGCCAATCAGATTGGAGCTTATGATTTTTAGCAGATGGCTGCCTTTTTCATGCAGTATGCACCAGACTGTCAATGAACGGGCTGTGGGCCATCCGTGGGTGTTCTGCCTGAGGCTGAAACTAGGCTACTACCTACTAGCGCTAAAGGAAATAGACCCTTGAACTGTTTTGCTACCCATCCCGTAAACTTATCGATGTTCATTGATTTGTGCGTCCTGTGTCCATCTGTAGAAGGAGCAGCTGGAGGTGAAGGAGAGCAGAGGGCGTAGCACTGGAGGAATGACCGAAGATGAGGTTTTCTCTAAAGTGGCAAGTCTTTTCAAAGGTCAAGAGGATCTGCTTGCAGAGTTTGGCCAGTTTTTGCCTGATGCAAAGAGATCTCTGGTTAGAAAATGACCTTTGTCTACTTTTTAAAAATTTCTTGCACTTGTATCAATTTGCAACAAAAGGGTTTTCTCTTAAACATTTTAAGTTGTTCACACTGTCGTGCAAAAGTTTGGGGTCAGTAATTTATTTTTATTTATTTTTTTATTTTTTTTCAGCAAGGATGTATCATACTGTATTGATCAACAGTGACAGTAAAACATGTATAATGCTATGAAATATTTATGTTTCTTATGTGCTCCTTTGAACATTCTATTCATCAAAAGATTAAAAAAAAAAAGGGTGTCATTTTCTACAAAAAATATTAGGCAGCACAACTGTTTTCGACATTGATAATAAGAAATTAGTGTTTATTGAGCACCAAATCAGCATATTAGAATGGTTTCTGAAGGATCTTGTGACAATAAAGACTGGGGCAATGCCTGCTGAAAATTCAGATTTGCCATCACAGGAATAAATTACATTTTAAAATATATTAAAATAGAAAACTGTTGTTTTAAATTGTAATAAAATTTACAATGTTGTTTATTATTATTATTATTATTTTTATTATTATTGATCAAACAAATACAGTCTTGGAGTGCCTAAGTCAATTCTTTCAAAAACATTTTACTGACACCAGACTTTTGAAAGGTAGAGTAAGTATTTATTTATTTATTTATGACTGTGTCTTTGATTCCAGTTTACTGGAGGTTCTTTGCCTGGCAAAGACAGTCTGAAGAAAGCAGAGGAAGAGGAAATTAATAAACTGAGCAAGAAGAGACCTAGACCCATGTTACTGCCCCACATGACCCCCCTTCTGAAGGTCAGAGTTCACAAAACTCTGCCAAAGCAGGGATACCATATGCCCCTGTGTCCTAAAGACCTGCAGTATATGTGGGTTACTTGTGCTTAAATAATGTATTTGTTTTTATTCACAGAAAAAAATGAAGTATTCCTGCTCCAAGGACCCATCTTTTGCCTCTGTCGGAAAGCATGGAGTTTTGCGGGAATTCACGTTCTTTGACAAGGTGCGTTTCATAAACAAAATTGCTCTGAAATGTACGTGGTAGTAAGTCGGCCATTGCCACAGGATTTATTACGCAGTCACAGCCTTTGAACAATTTCATTTATTTTTTTTAGGTTCGCTGTCTGCTCAAGAGTCAGGAGGTGTACGAGAATTTCTTACGCTGTATAGCTCTGTTCAATCAGGAAGTGGTTTCAGGGGCCGAACTCCTGCAGCTTGTGACTCCATTCTTGGGGTAAGAAAGATTTAAATAGGGCATGTTTATTTAATCCTGTTTGTTTTCATATAGTGCATTTCGCAGCCCTTTCATGTCGGTCATGAGTCATATGCCACTGGTGCCTCATTCTGTAGGAAGTTTCCAGAACTGTACACCCAGTTTAAGTCATTTTTGGGTGATAAAGAGCTGTCTCATGCCATCATGGGCCTCTCTGACCGTTACATGGAGGGTGGAGGCAGAGAAGTGGATTACGCCTCCTGTAAACGCCTGGGATCCAGCTACAGAGCCCTGCCCAAGACCTACCAGCAGCCCAAATGCAGTGGCCGAACTGCTATATGCAAAGAGGTACTGCATTTTCTGAAATGGTTGAAATTGTGAAATGTTATGGAAGCAATGTAATGTTTGTACTGTTATTAATATAATTAATAATGCCATATAAGTATAATTATTATGTCTATATATTCGATATTATACATATTACTTCAGTATTTGTACTTATTATTGACAATATATAATAAATATGTGTTTGCGTGTGTGTGTTTTTTTTTCTTTACTGCTTTAATGCATATTTCACCTCAGCAGTATGCTAATAATATAAGATAAAATTAAATGAAATGCAAATGTACCATTACAAAAATGTCAGCCACGCGGCCGTTAGGTCTTTAAAGGAGAGGCGTTAATGATGACGCAGATCCTGGGTTGGTCTCGGTCCACAGATAATGGTACAAATCCGCAGAAGCCCAAATCTACATGAATCATTTGGAAAATGGGATGTTTCAGCCCCCACACTGCTCTTTTTTTCAGCTGAATCTTTAAAAAGTGCAACCAGATATTGCTAAGGCTTCAGTCATGGGGTCAGAAACCTGATGGTAGTACAAATGGTTTAAACTCATTGTTTTGTTGTAGGTGCTGAATGATACCTGGGTCTCATTCCCTTCCTGGTCAGAAGACTCCACTTTTGTGAGTTCCAAGAAAACACCATATGAAGAGCAACTTCATCGCTGTGAAGATGAGAGGTTTGAGGTAAGATAATCTCTTTGAAAAATATCAGGAGTTTTAGGTTTCAACTGAAAATCAGTTGATATTGATTTTTTTTTTTGCTTTGTAGCTGGATGTTGTGCTTGAGACTAATTTAGCAACGATAAGAGTTTTGGAAAGCGTGCAGAAGAAATTATCCCGCCTTTCGCCGGAGGATCAAGAGCGCTTCCGATTGGATGACTGTCTTGGTGGAACTTCTGAGGTCATCCAGCGTCGTGCAATCTATCGTATCTACGGTGACAAGGCTCCAGAAATCATAGAGGGGTTAAAGAGGAGTCCAGCCACTGCAGTTCCTGTCGTACTCAAAAGGTTAACAAAAAAGTCTTATTTTTCTTTTCTCTCACCTAAATGACAATCAGGGTATCTCTACAGTTACATTTGACAGCAAAAGTAGTAGAATAGCTCAGAGGTCAACAACTTATTTATTGCTGCTCTTAGCTCACAGGGGGAAAAATCATTGAGATCTACAAGACCGTATACAGAGTTAATAAATCCAGCATGGTTAATCAAAAATGAAAACTGTGGATGTCATTTTTACACTATCCCTAATTTTGCAGTCATTTGTGGTTCTAAAGTTTTAAGAGTTCTTCAGTCTAGCAGAAATGACATTTTGAATGAAGAATAAATGGATGATTTTCTTGCCATAGATTGAAAGCTAAAGAGGAGGAGTGGAGGGAGGCTCAGCAGGGCTTCAACAAAATCTGGAGAGAGCAATATGAGAAGGCGTTTCTGAAATCACTGGACCACCAGGGTGTCAACTTCAAACAGAACGACATGAAGGCTCTTCGATCCAAGAGTCTTCTCAATGAAATAGAGAGCATCTATGATGAGGTGAGTTTAGCTGATCTTCTGTTTCTGAAGGTCTAACGACTCGTTCTCAGGATCTAGAAAAGAGCTTTTTTCCGTAATTATAATCTGGTCTTCATTCTGAACCATTTTGCATTGTAATTTCATATACTACTTTATTTTAACAGTAGGTGTAATCATTTCAGTCTGTCATTTTTGAGTTTATGATGATAATGATGACAGACTTGACTAAATGTAGTCGCAGTGGAGGTTAATAAAGGACTACAATTGTAAAAATAGGTTCAGTGAACATTCTACTCATTAATTCTGTCACAGTGACATTTGATTTGAAAAAATCAAAAGCTTAAATCATTGCATCTATAACAGCTTTTAAGTTACCATGTTATTATTCAGTAAAATAGTCTTATCAAGCTCTATTTTGCACCCTTTTTCTTTTTATTCTTCTCCCACAATGTAAAAAAGACAGGAGGTATTTCAGTTAACCAATTTACTGAACAACATCTCATGAATTATTCCGCTTTACTACATACATATCAGCAGTTTAAGTTAGGAGTAGCACATAGATCTGTTTATTGTCGAAATAAACTAATGTATAAACAATAAGAACTCATCACATTTTCTTCATCGTCACCATTGTAATTCTGCGTTCCCACTCAATAAAAACCGAGTACATCATGTGAAATCTCATCTCAGGTTGCTTGCTACAAGAGTCTCATATGTCATGCAGATAAACTAGCGCTTTTGTTTTTTCCCCTCTACAGCGGCAGGAGCAGAGCACAGAAGAGGGCGGCATGGGCCAGCAAAGCTGTGACGGCTCAGGCACAAATTCGACCAGTGAACCCCACATGATCTTCACTTACGAAGACAAACAGATCCTGGAGGACGCTGCCTCCCTCATCATCTACCATGTCAAGCGACAACCCACCATCCACAAGGACGACAAGGACCACATCAAGCGTATCATCCAGCACTTTGTTCCCGATCTCTTTTTCGCCCATCGTGGAGAGCTTAGCGAGACAGAGGAGTTCACGGACGAGGAAGCCGAGGGTGAGGACGGCACCACCGCAGGAGGTGAAGTCTCAACAACAGGCAGCCAGCAACAGCTGAACGGTGATTCCAGACGAAGACGATGCACTTCCCCTCAGAGCATGGACACCTCTACGGCCGCCCACAGTATGAATCCAGAAGGGGAGGCTGTGGATCTGCGGGACCCGGAAGCTGTGGATCTGCGGGACCCAGAGGCTGAGCACCAGAAGGAGCTGGATGGAGTCTACAACCTGTTCTTCGTCAATAATAACTGGTACTTCTTCCTGCGGCTGCACCAGACTCTGTGCTCACGGCTGCTAAGGGTTTACAGGCAGGCCGAGAGACAGTTACTGGAACACAGGGCAGAGCAGAATCGGGAACGGCTGCTCATGGGAGAGGGGCGCAGAGAAAAGGCAAACGACCTGGCTATGGAGCTGCGTCTGAAACAGCCCAGTGAGTAGATTTCCTGAACGATGCACATGTACACTTACACCTACACAAGTTTTGCATTGGATGCACCACTAATATTTGCTTTGGGATAGTTACTAATCTGGTTTTAGAACTAAATTAACAGGCTTGCACAAATTTTTACAAGTAATGTCTGTTGTTTCAGGTGAAGTAGAGTTAGAGGAATATTACCCAGCGTTCTTAGACATGGTACGCAGTCTTCTAGATGGAAACCTGGAGGCCACGCAATACGAGGACACCCTGAGAGAGATGTTCACCATCCACGCTTACATCGGATTTACCATCGACAAGCTCATTCAGAACATTGTAAGACAGGTGGGTTGAAGAGTTGCATTACACCAAGCTAATATTCTTGGGCCATTTGTATACTTTTAAAGGTGCCATGAATTTTACAACCATTTTTCAACTCGCAGATCTTTTACAAATGACTGGTTTTGCTCTTGAAGTCTTGGAAGACTTTATGTAAATGACCTCAGTTCTGATTCACCCATTATCTTAATTGAATAGATATTAAATAGTCATTTATATGTAAACAGGCATGCAAATTTATTGAAGTAAATTGCATTCTTTGCGATTTGATGATCGTGCTCATCAAATCGTAATACGATTTTGGTTTTATTTTAATTTGAAAAGTTCCCAAATAACTGAATTTTTTGCCGTTTGTGATTCTTAAATGGTCGGAGTGAGCTGACAGGGAAGGGAGCCTTAGGGGCCGTTCACACAGAACACGTCTTTGCGTCTAAAAACATGAGACGCAGCACTCAGGAATGGTTTAAAAAAGCACAGCGCAGAATTCCACCTCCAAACTTGCTTCTGTAAACAAAAGCTTGCACCACTTGCCCTGCCTCCGGGGTCTTCTGATAAGAACCACTGTTTTGGAACTGACATTGAAGAGTGGCGCTGCGTATAAAAGTTGAAATTCTTTTAGCTTGACATGGCATCTTAAAAAAGACGGTGCAAGAGACGTGAGCGCAACACTCATACAACGTTCATCTAGCGCATGTCTACATAGAAAAACAACTGAAAAGTAGTTCATTAAAATGAAAAAACACATCGTGTGAACGGCCACTTAGGCTGTGAATGTTATAGTACTTTTATATTTCAAAAAAGCAAGTAAAACCTTGTTTTTTCTTTAGGTGTTAACATGCTCTTCTCTCTGATTGACTCCAACAGCTTCAGCACTTGGTCAGTGATGAGGTGTGTCTGCAAGTCACTGAGCTGTACCTGGCCGAGAGGAAGAGGGGTGCTGCTGGTGGCAATCTCTCGTCCCAGTGTGTCCGCGCCGCTTGGGAGGCCAGCTACCAATGGAAGGCTGAGAGAGTCATGTCTGAGGAGAACTGCTTCAAGGTGCTTGACCTAATGCTGTCCCTACATATGACCAAAATTTATGTGGAAATCTAAATTCAGATGTTATATTCACCTCCTCAGATTTGTCATGCTTGTTTTGTAATTACCTAGTTTAGTTTGTGATTTCTTGGCTGTTTCTCATCAGGTCATGTTCATTCAAAACAAAGGTCAGGTGACCTTAACGATCGAGTTGCTGGACACGGAGGAGGCCCAAGGCGATGACCCACTGGATATTCAGGTACCTCCACACAAAGTTCTGTATTTTTACAACAGAAAATACTTCTGAAACATGAGTTGTTTGTTTTCTGAGAACATTTTAAAAGCGTCAAATTTAATAGGGTAATCTGGTTTGGTGAGGCAGGAGTGTAATCTTGTTTTCTAGTGCATTAATATTTGTTATGTCTTGTTTCAGAGCCTGTCTAATTATATGGAGCAGTATATAGGAACTGAATCTGTATGCTCTCAGACAGAAGGATACTACTTCAAGCCTGTGTTCCTACCCAGGTAAAAACCATGTTTGCACTTGTTTAACCTGCGTTATTTATACCTGTTCTTTCTCTTTTGTAGCCAGAAGGTTAATTGTTAATTTGTTTAGAGGTGCATGAATTCTATAATTCATGCACCTCTAAATTTACGTTTAATTTACTTTTTTATTTTTGTTTTGTTTTGCTTACAAGCCCAATATTACTTGCTTTCTCTCAGTGACACTCATTATTTTTAGACCCCTCATATTATCTGACCTTGTTTCTGGAAGAAATTATGTATAATTGAAGCTGATTGTCTCAGTATAAAGTAGTACACTGCTTTTGTGATATAAACTAAAAATTGCTTGTTCAAATGTAATACATGTCGAATTAAGGTGAAACTAGATTGACATTTTTTCTGCACCTCACCTTTAGGAATCTGAGGCATTTCCGTGGCTGGCAGCTCAAGCAGGTGGAAGCCATGCGCTGTCGGAGAGAGTGGCATCGGAAGATGGGTGTGGAGACAGCCGGGAACCTGGACTGCCGTTTCAAACTAAACACGCACAAGATGGTGTTTGTGATGAACTCCGAAGACTACATGTACCGCCGAGGGGCCCTGGTGAAAGCTCGGAGGGTATGTTCGTAAAATACAACAAAAAGATTCTGAACATTTCTACAGTCAATATACATTTTTCGTTCTAGTATTTCGTCAGTTAAATTTGCGCTTTGTGAGTGCAATCTCTATAAAATGATTTTCAAAAATACTTGTAGAACTGTTAAATTCAAATAATAAATGATGCTAACCATATAACTCATGCATGGTTAGGATGACAAAAGAAGCTTATTAACTTTTAAAAGAGAGGCGAAAATGCTTCCCATATCTTACCATATTCCCAAATACACTTCCATTCAAAAGTTTGTGGTCAGTAAGACTTTTATAATGTTTTTGAAAGAAGTCTCTTATGCTCAATAAGGCTTCATTTATTTAATAAACACTGTAATATTTGAAATATGATTACAATTTAAAAGAACTGTTTTCTATTTTAATATATTGTAAAAAAAATAATTTATTCATGTGATGACAGCTGAATTTTCAGCAGCCATTACGCCAGTCTTTAGTGTTGCATGATCCTTCAGAAATCATTCCAATATGGCGATTTGATGTCCAATAAACATTTCTTATTATTATTATAAATGTTGACAATGGTTGTACTGCTTTATAATTTTGTGGAAACTGACATAATTTTTCAGCATTCTTTAATTAATAGGAAAAAAAAACTGCATTTATTTGAAATAGACGTCTTTTGTCTTCGTCTTAAATGTCTTTACTCTCACTTTTGATCAATTTAATGCATCCTTCCTGAATAAGTAAAAAAAACAAAAATCTTATTAACTACAGACTTTTAAAAAGTAGGGGCTTTCGCACCGGAGGAACCTTTTCATAGTTCCTAGAACTATTGGTGGAAGTTCCCACTTTTTGGCACCATGCTGGCTAGTTCCTAGAACCACGTGGTGCAAAAGCCCCTAGTAGTGCATTTAATTTTTGTCCCATCTCTTCCTCTAGTCCCAGCACAGAGTAGCACAGGCCCAGCACGAGCGCTTCGAGCAGTGGCACCGGGGCTGGTTGAGCGAGCATGTGTCCTCCGGCGCCGAGCACAGCGTGCAGGACTGGCTCATGGGAGAAGAGGACGAGGACATGATCCCCTGCAAGACCACCTGTGTTTCCATGCAGGTCAAAGGCTTATATGTCAACAGGTACCAGGTGCACTACAACAGCAAGGCCCCCGCCTCACCGTAACAACCTCAAGCCTTGGGATGGATTTTGGTGATCTCTCTCTCTCTCTCTTTTCTCTCTATGTCTCTTTCTCGCTCACTCTTTCAAATGGCCGAGCTTAAACATGCTTGGCTGAAACACAGCGAACAGACAGGAGTGGTTTGAGGACAGACAGCTGCTCAAAGGAGGGAATGCCTCATTAAAAAGCATCACATCTCGACACTAGTCCATCATGATCGATGCCGTTACCAGACGTTTCAGAAATGTGAATTTTTTTTTTTTTTTTTTTTTTTTTAAAGGTTTTTAGCTCCTGAAACCAGAGTTTTGTTTTGTTTATACTGAAGTATTGAGAGACTAGGTTTAAAGTATGTCTACAACATCTGTATGTCTTTTTGTACAGTAAAGTCGACTCGAGCTCGAGCAATTGCATATATACAGCAGAAAAATTATTCTGTGTGCATTTTCTTGGCTATGAATGATGACTTGGAAAAATTATGTTTCTCTGGCGCACATCCGTAACGTCCTTGTTTTAGTTCTGTTTTGTGTTCTTTGTTTTCATCGTCTCTTATAACTGAACAGAGGATCGCCAGTGTCACCCGTCAATCACTGCTCATTATTTGTAGTTGATTTTGTTAAACATCCAGATCATGTATCATATCGATCTCGCCAAATCCTTGCTTTTGTTTGGTGTAATTTTTACATATTAAAACCGAAAAATGACAAAATATCAGTGTTTTGAAAAAAGAATGTATAACATTTATCCTGTATCAGTTATCACAAAATAAACAACCTAGTTGTGCAGTTCTTAAAGAACGGGTCGTGATTCTTGCAGAATTCTCACCTTTTCATCAGAAGATTGTGCATTTGGAATAGCAACATTATCCTGTCTTATGGTTTAAATTATTTGAGGTTGCAATTTAATATTTATCTATCTGCAGATACCATGGTGGAAAACCAGCTTTTTTAAATACATGTTTGGACAGGCAGAAAATGTTCTGTGAAATATTCAAAGAAAGTTGAACAAAGTGTCTGGGTCATTTTTCATCCCACTGTTTTTTTTATGACATTTAAGCACATTCCCTGAAGATCCTTATTACATTTACATTTAACACACTTCTTTAAATTAAAATCTCCATAAATGAAATCCAGTACAATAAATACTAGAAAGGTGTATATTTATTTTAGTGCTGTCAAATGATTAATCGCGATTAATTGCATCCAAAATAAAGCTTTATAATTTTGTGGAAACTGACATAATTTTTCAGCATTCTTTAATTAATAGGAAAAAAAAACTGCATTTATTTGAAATAGACGTCTTTTGTCTTCGTCTTAAATGTCTTTACTCTCACTTTTGATCAATTTAATGCATCCTTCCTGAATAAGTAAAAAAAACAAAAATCTTATTAACTACAGACTTTTAAAAAGTAGGGGCTTTCGCACCGGAGGAACCTTTTCATAGTTCCTAGAACTATTGGTGGAAGTTCCCACTTTTTGGCACCATGCTGGCTAGTTCCTAGAACCACGTGGTGCAAAAGCCCCTAGTAGTGCATTTAATTTTTGTCCCATCTCTTCCTCTAGTCCCAGCACAGAGTAGCACAGGCCCAGCACGAGCGCTTCGAGCAGTGGCACCGGGGCTGGTTGAGCGAGCATGTGTCCTCCGGCGCCGAGCACAGCGTGCAGGACTGGCTCATGGGAGAAGAGGACGAGGACATGATCCCCTGCAAGACCACCTGTGTTTCCATGCAGGTCAAAGGCTTATATGTCAACAGGTACCAGGTGCACTACAACAGCAAGGCCCCCGCCTCACCGTAACAACCTCAAGCCTTGGGATGGATTTTGGTGATCTCTCTCTCTCTCTCTTTTCTCTCTATGTCTCTTTCTCGCTCACTCTTTCAAATGGCCGAGCTTAAACATGCTTGGCTGAAACACAGCGAACAGACAGGAGTGGTTTGAGGACAGACAGCTGCTCAAAAGAGGGAGTGCATCATTGAAAAGCATCACATCTCGACACTAGTGTCCATCATGATCGATGCAGTTACCAGACGTTTCAGAAATGTGAATGTCAAACTTTTTTTTTTTTTAAGAAAGTCCATTGTAGTTTTTAGCTCCTGAAACCAGAGTTTTGTTTTGTTTATACTGAAGTATTGAGAGACTAGGTTTAAAGTATGTCTACAACATCTGTATGTCTTTTTGTACAGTAAAGTCGACTCGAGCTCGAGCAATTGCATATATACAGCAGAAAAATTATTCTGTGTGCATTTTCTTGGCTATGAATGATGACTTGGAAAAATTATGTTTCTCTGGCGCACATCCGTAACGTCCTTGTTTTAGTTCTGTTTTGTGTTCTTTGTTTTCATCGTCTCTTATAACTGAACAGAGGATCGCCAGTGTCACCCGTCAATCACTGCTCATTATTTGTAGTTGATTTTGTTAAACATCCAGATCATGTATCATATCGATCTCGCCAAATCCTTGCTTTTGTTTGGTGTAATTTTTACATATTAAAACCGAAAAATGACAAAATATCAGTGTTTTGAAAAAAGAATGTATAACATTTATCCTGTATCAGTTATCACAAAATAAACAACCTAGTTGTGCAGTTCTTAAAGAACGGGTCGTGATTCTTGCAGAATTCTCACCTTTTCATCAGAAGATTGTGCATTTGGAATAGCAACATTATCCTGTCTTATGGTTTAAATTATTTGAGGTTGCAATTTAATATTTATCTATCTGCAGATACCATGGTGGAAAACCAGCTTTTTTAAATACATGTTTGGACAGGCAGAAAATGTTCTGTGAAATATTCAAAGAAAGTTGAACAAAGTGTCTGGGTCATTTTTCATCCCACTGTTTTTTTTATGACATTTAAGCACATTCCCTGAAGATCCTTATTACATTTACATTTAACACACTTCTTTAAATTAAAATCTCCATAAATGAAATCCAGTACAATAAATACTAGAAAGGTGTATATTTATTTTAGTGCTGTCAAATGATTAATCGCGATTAATTGCATCCAAAATAAAAGCTTTTGTTAACATAATATATGTGTGCATACTGTGTATATTTATTATGTATATATAAATACACATGTATATATTATGAAAACATTTAGATGTATTTACATGCATATTTGTATATTCATATAATTTATATGATTTATAAATATATTTAATATATAAACAACATTTTTCTTAAATATATACATGCATGTGTATTTATATATATACATAATAAATATACACAGTACACACGCATATATTCTGTAAACAAACTTATTTTGAATGCGATTAAACATTTGACAGCACTTATTTATTAATTTTTTTTGGGAAATGTGTGGTAATGTTAAACTGTCATGAAAATGTCAAAATGCAAGACATTTTAATGGTTTTCAATTAGCTTCATTTGAGTTATGGTTTACAGTGTAATTTTTTTTTTTTTTTTTTGGCAGAAATATCTTGACTGGTTTCATGATATTCACCCAGAAAGTTTTTTTTTTATTATTATATGTTTAATATGTTTGTTTGTTTATTTATTTAAGATGAGTCTTGCAAATGGCTTTCATTTGAGGATTGTGTTTATATATATATAT